CTCTGTTGAGCAATGAAAAGAATTAGCTGGTTTATAGATCTTGCCTATTGAGAAACCATTCACAATCAATGCGAAAACAAATTTTCTCTTACCTATGTTTCATCCACAAGTTTCTGTTGAACGATATGGATCAATTTCAAAAACATTTTTAGCAATGCCAACGAGCGGTAAAGCTCAACGTTCATATCGTCTAAGATCTGATCGATATCTTTCTCATGGAAAGTATGTGAAATTATCTTTTCTTATATATATATAAGTTTTGTTGTCGTTTTATTTTAATTAGTTGTATTATACGAGAATATGATCGAATGGTCGGTGAAACACAATTACCAAATTTAGCCGCAAATAATAAATATGAATTTTCAATTGGAGAAGATGCTGATATTATTTATAAAGAAAATGTAACATTAATTTCCGCCATTACTTTTAATGAAACTGAATCGAAAGTAAAACTTTCATCAGATAAGAGTATATCATCAGGAGTTATTATGACTCGTACACGATATACTTATAAGATACATTTACAAGTAATAAATTTTAAAAATCGTTCAATTAATGTTGAATATGAACAAAGAGGATTTCATTCGTATCAAAATATGAAATTAATAAAATTAGATAAACATGAATTTATTCAAGATGGTTCATCAATTAAATCAAATATAACAATACAAGCAAATACAACTGAAAATTATTCTTATACTATTGAATTAATTCGTTAGAATATATGACTATATTCGAATTTTTTTCAATATTTCTTTATGTAAATAAATATACTAATCTAGAAAATAATTTATATTATTCAAATAGAAAAAGAAAAAGAAAAGAAGGACTATTGTTAAACTCAATGTTTGTCTTTTATTTATTTTAATATCAAATTTTTATTTATTCCAGAGATCGTTAATGATTGTTTAGAATTTATAAAGTTTATATTAAAACTAATTTCCATTTGGCTATATTTGCAAACTATGATTGTTTGCATCACTTTATTTATATATATAAGTCATTAAGTTCTTTGAATTAATTTTGTTTGTTAGAAAAACATGCACTAGGAACTTGTGTTAATCAAGCATTTATGTATACATAAATGAGCAAACATTTTGTTCAATATTCTTTGATTGCATTTGAGTAATAAACTCGAAATAAAACGATTTACGATATATAAAACAAAGAATTATTGCTCCTAAAGATTTTATTCCATAAAAAGAATATTTTAATCTATTTATATTAGTTCAGCTAAATGCCATAGAAGAAAAAAAAAAACAATTATTTTATTGTATCGATCAACCTCAAGTCGTTACATATTTTATGAGTGTTTTCTTTTTTTTTTATGTTATAAATATATCAATTATCGTAGCTTACAAATGTTTTCTTTTTAATTGAAAAAAAAATAATTTTTTCTATTGGGTTATATTTATTTGTTCTTTCTATCGAATATCTAGCTGGTCGTATTTGTAAATACGACGTGTAACTTTTTCAAGGCCATGTAGAACAATGGTTACAATTGCTACCAATTGGAAATTATGTTTACAATCAGTGATGTAACATAATATTATTAACTTGCGTATTCGAGCATGAGTAAGACATTGTTTTCTCTAGAGATGTCATCTTCAAGTACATCTTATAGATTTCTAAATAATTAATTCAATCACTTGAATTTACACACAATGATTCATATGATATTCGACTTGATTGAATCATACTCTTCTCAGTGGACACTCAAATATAACATCATAGACCATAAGAAGAAAAAAAAAAGAAATTACTCAATGGAGCACAAAATTTATATTCATTCGTCTATATCTATAGAACAAGACAACAGTCACGTTCATTAAAGTTACTCTTGTTGATGAAAATGAATTTGTGTCTGGAAAAAAAAGAATTTCTATATTTTACTCTTTCTTACCAAGACATTTTCTGTGTTGAACAGCTATGAAATTCTAAATTCTATGGTAATTTTACTTACAAAATATCAAATTCGAAAGCATTTTTTAGTTATATCCGATCGAATTCTAATTGATTTTCAAAAATGCTAACGAATAGCAAAACTTGACGTTCGTATCATCTAAAATCTGAAAAATATTTTTCTCATGAAAACGAAGTGAAATTATTTTTTTTTATATATGTAATTGTCTTGTTGTAGTTCTTTAATTAGTAGCATTATAACGAGAACATGATGAAGTTATCAATGAAACATTGTTATCAAATATAGTTCCAAATACTAAATATCAATATTTCCATTGGGAACATACTCATGTTATCTATAAAGAAGATGTAACCTTGATTTCATCCACAACCTTTTCAAGAAAAAAACAACACTAAAATCATCTAATATACGAACTCGTATTCAATCTCTGATTAAAATTCATGTAGGAGTGAAATATTTTGAAAAATTGTTTAATTAACGTTGAATATGAACAAATATGCGATTCTTTCAAATTATATCTTGTCAAGTCAAATAATAACAATTCTATTCAAAATGGATGTTAAATCTGCATAGTGCGTAAGACATGTTTTACTTTTTAAGATGCTTCATAATTTTAAATCTATTACATATGTGTTTAATAGATTAAATGTTATATTATGGATGGTATTAAAACTTTTATCTATTAAATATATGTATCGAGATGTACAAAAGTACGATCTGACATTGCCATAACGAATATTCTTTTAGTCAAATGGAAGTAGTTTTCAATATCTGTTTACATCAATTCCAAGTTGGGTTTGAACAATTTTAATAAAAAAATAGATTATTAACCCCTTTGGTGCCGGTGTTTTTGTTGAATAAATTAAGTTTTTTTATATAAGTGACAATAGATATTTATTCAATTAAAAATCATTATCAAAAGTGTTTTAGGGTGTGATAAACTTTGAAACAATTAATTATACATAATCAATTATGCAGATTATTTCCGCTTACTTTTAATTGATATAGTATTATATGACATCCTGGATTTTGAGAGATACTCGAAATAGTATATACACCAACGTTCGGCATCATAGGATTAAGAATCAAGTATTCCTGAAGTTCTCTATTAGAGATTTGCGGATTCTTCCAAATCTAGATCCGAGTCGACAAAAATATGGATCTACAGTTTTCCAGTCTCTCTGGTGTTATCTTTTACTTTTCTGTAACATTGATTATTTTATGTACTTTAGGAAAGTTTTAGCTGGATCACAAGTGTTTCTTTTTTTTTGTATTGTACCGATGTGGCTCTGCCGATAATCCTATTTCTGATACATAGGGTAAAAACATATATATAATTCAAATAAGAAGGTTCTTTTGTATCGAGAGAATTCAACCCGAATGAAAGATATTTAGCTGCTAACAAATTTTTGCCAACAGAAAACAATCATTCGAATTTGTTATTCTTTAAACAATTTCTACTTCTCAACCGCTTTTTTCGTTTTGTTCAATTGAAAATCTCCGAAATATTGAGCTACAATCATTGTCCCTTTTAAATAGTTTAATGAAAATCCATTGCAATCTTACAAAGAAGTATATCATTTTGTTCGTTTACTTTGTTCACACACACACACAGCAAGAAACGATACACACGAAAAAAAAAAAACGAAATACGCAAAGAGTTATTTTCAAAAACGAAAAAAAACCCAAAAGTCAAAAAAGAAAGAAAAAAGAAGAGATCTTCATAACAACAAGAAAAAAGAAAAAACGAAGAAAGTGAGAACGATAACAGATATATGGCATAGATGTGTATTATTTGTTGTTATTATTATTATTGTTCTGCTTGTTTTTAAATTACATAAAAAAAAGGAAAAAGAAAAAAAAGAAAACATTTTTTTTCTCAATTGCACGATACACAAAAAAAAACGGGAGGGGAAGAACGGGTTAAAGTGAAGCAATAACGAATAGATGTTTGTTTTTTTTCAGTTGTTCGTTTACAAAGAAAACATAAGCCGGATAAAATGAAAGAGAATCAAAAAGAAACAAAAAGGAAAGATTTACAAAAATGATAGACATATACTAAATCAGATGTACACAAAACACATTACAAGCATTGTTCTTTGTCATGAGAAAAAAGAAGAAGAAAAAAAAAGAAAAAAACCAAATCTATGAAAAAAAAAAATCGCACTCACATACACACGTACATATATATATAGAAACTACACTGCACTGCACTGCACTGCACACATATAGATATATTTTTATACATACACGCATAAAGTGTGTCATGGGATTTTGTTCGTTATATTCGCATATGCGAGATGTAAGTAAGGAAACCGAGCGACCATTGCGATACAAAAATAAGGATTGCAACAAAACTGTTCGATAGAGTAGATGTGTAGACTAGCTCAACACACACACATATATATATATAAGACAATAAGAGAGAGAGAGAGAGAGACAGAGGGTTAAAAGATATCTGAACGTGAGCTTCGAAAGATACATGCGCATACAAATTTATATATATAGATAAATATTAATCAGCTATAATAGCTGTTGCTGCTGTTGCTGCTGTTGATGTTGTATTATCAACAGGTTTAAGTCGTAGAGATACTTCCAATGGTTTTGTAACACGATGACGACAAGGTAAATAAACCATACATGGTACAAATAAATCTTTATATACATCATCATCACTTTCAACTAAGAAAGGTTGCATAGACAAAAGACGATTATTATTATTGTTGTTGTCATTTGTTGATATTTTAGTCGTTGTTGTTGTTAATGATGATGAATAATTAATTGTTTCTTTTGTTAAATTAATATTTTCTGATTCATTACTATCAGTTATATGACCATTTAAATCATTATCATTTGTTAATGAATATTTTCTTGTTGATAAAATATTTATATCAGTTGGAATCGTAGATGTTGATGATAAAATATTTGAAGACAATGAAAGTGTTGTTTTAGATGATTGTGAATCTGATGATGGTGATAATTGAGATGTTGTACTTGATGTTGTTGATGGTTGTTGAATTAAACGTAAATCATCCACTGATATATTATGAACATTACGCATATGAGCACGTAAAAAATATTTATTACATAATTCCTAAAATTTAAAATTATAAGAAATTATTTTTAAATTAAAAAAAAAGAATGTTTTAATTTAAAACTAATATCTCAATTTTATGTCTCTAAATCAATCTCGGGAATAGTATTGATCATTTCTTTTTAGTTCATACTACGTAATATTTATAGTGAATAAATAAATAAGCAATCAAATCTCTAATATAACTTATTTCCTTTGAGACAATTATTATATTTAGTAAATTTCAAAATGAGAAACAAAAAAAGAAGATTAATGTATATCATGTAACCAATCAGTCTTTTAACATCTTAAATATCTTGTATTTAGTAAAAATAAAACTCATCGCATTAAGCTGTTTTATACAATAGAACTTGATATATATGAAATTTAAAAAAAATCTTGCTTTGCAATATGGACTACTGATTAACGGCAAATTTATTAGTCCAATATCTTCATCGCAACTAATCTTAGCTGTAGTTCTTGGACTCAAACGCTTAAGCTTTCCATACGCATTGACTAAGTACATACTAGCCACAAGGAAAGATATGTGTGGCATTTTCATCAACATACTATCGAATAGGTAATCCGAGATAAGCAGCCGTTAGTGACTTGTCCAGCATCATTCTATAGCTGATGGTACCATGATTTGAACAAAGCATCTATTGCATATATATATATATATATAGAACAGTGAAGTCACTCGACCATGACGACCATATGAA